TTGTTCTAACTGTCAGGAAGTTTCTCCTTAGTTCTAGGTTGCTTCTCTCTTTGGTTAGTTTCCACCCGTTGCTTCTTGTCCTGCCTTCAGGCGCTTTGGAAAATAGCTTGACTCCCTCTTCTTTGTGGCAGCCCCTGAGATATTGGAACACTGCTATCATGTCCCCCCTCGTCCTTCTCTTCGTTAAACTAGACATACCTAATTCCAGCAACCGTTCCTGATATGCTTTAGCCTCCAGTCCCCTAATCATCTTTGTTGCTCTTCTCTGTACTCTTTCTAGAGTCTCAGCATCTTTTTTACATCTTGGTGACCAAAACTGGATGCAGTGTTCCAAGTGTGGTCTTACTAAGGTATTGTAAAGTGGTATTAATACTTCACGTGATCTTGATTCTATCCCTCTGTTAATGCAGCCCAGCACTGTGTTGGCTTTTTTGGCAGCTGCAGCACACTGCTGGCTCATATTTAAGTGATTGTCCACTAGGACTCCAAGATCCCTCTCACAGTTACTATACTACTATTGAGCAAGGTACCCCCTATACTATACCTGTACATTTGGTTTTTATTGCCTAAATGTAGAACCTTACTTTTTTCACCATTGAATTTCATTTTGTTAGATAGCGCCCAGTGTTCAAGTCTGTCTAGATCCTCCTGTATCCTAAGCCTGTCTTCTGGAGTGTTGGCTATTCCTGCCAGCTTGGTGTCGTCTGCAAATTTGATGAGTTCCCCATCTATCCCTCATCCAGATCGTTGATGAAGATGTTGAAGAGCACTGGGCCCAGAACAGAGCCCTGGGGCACCCCACTACACACTTCCCTCCATGTAGATGCGGTTCCATTGAGGACCACACGCTGAGTACGGCCGGTCAGCCAGTTACGGATCCATCTGGTGGTGATGCTGTCTAACCCGCATTTTTCTATCTTATCGAGTAGTAGGTTGTGGTCTACTTTGTCAAATGCCTTACTGAAGTCCAAGTAAATTATATCCACAGCATTCCCCTGGTCCACTAATTTTGTCACTTGGTCAAAGAATGCAATAAGATTTGTATGGCATGATCTGTTTTTGACAAATCCGTGTTGGCTTTTAGTAATGACTTTGTTTGCCTCTAGGTGTTCGCTGATTCGTTGTTTGATTATCTTTTCCAGAATCTTCCCAGGTATTGAGGTCAGGCTGATAGGTCTGTAAATTCCTGGGTCCTTTTCCCCCCCTAATGTATAGGGTTATTTTTTAAAAACATTTAGAATGAGTAAATCTCTATTAAAGCTCCTTATCTCCTTATCAATATTAGCCATAAAGATAGTTAAATGCTGGGTAACTTTTTAAAAAATGTCAGACAAAATATAATATATATATAGAAGGGCTAAAAAAATAATTAACTAATCAATTGATTTGGACCCAAAAGCTCCTTCTCAATTTGTGGAAGATTTATTATATGATCATTCAACTTCATTCAGTTATGATTTATTATAACTAGAAGTGTATTCTTTGTAAACTTATTTGAATTGCTGTTTCCATTTCAATAATATATATATTAAGAAATGACCCCAACAAGTTCTCATACATAAAATTATTTTGAAATTTATGACACCACATAAAGAGCTGCATATCATACACTCCATTTTACAGTACATTGGTTGCCCAAAAATTCTGGTAATGGAATCAGGGTATGTATTTGATTTTCTATAATACTCTTACTCTGGCAACTCACTGCATCAACTACATCTGTTTGAGGAGATCCAGTAGGGATATGAGAAAATAGTACTAGGAAGAGAAAATATATATAATTGCAACACTATCTTTAATCCCATGTGAGACACTTAAAAGATGGATAGTGTTTTGTACATCAACATAGTCTTAATACTAACTAGTCTTTAGATTTACATGAAAAAGCCTTGCAGGTATATTTCTTTTTGTTATAATATGGCCTATAAAAATATAAAAATTTAATTGCTTCGTTTGATTGCCAAATGGTACTATTCTTATATTATACTCTGTAATTCATGTAAGTCAGGTTTACTGACAGAAGTAATTTTTATACCCATAAATTAAAATTGTCACTAAAAAATCATAGTTAAAGACTAGATAGATTTTACCCATTCAAACATAATACTGAATTGCAGTATTTTAAAAATATGAGCAAAAATGTTTACATCTGAATGAAACTTATTGTCCCTACGCTTCTTTAGACTATGGGCAAGAGTTGCATTTTTAATTAAAAGTCAAGGAGAAACTTAAAATTTTAATTAAGGGCATTAACTATTAAATGAAAATATTAAATAATATAAATATAAAACTATTTTACAAGATACTTAAGATTCCTAATAACATTGAACTTTGTAATGTTCTTCATTTTATATACTCGTCTGAAATGCTTCAAATAATTAAAAAATCCTGTGTCATTAATTTGATGTGTTAAAATACTAAAATAAGCTATTCAAACTGAAACTGGTTAAATATCCAAACAGTTGAACAAAATGTGGAATATGCAGATTTCATCCTAGCTGTCTATTATACTAAGAGTACAGTATAGTGTACCTATCTTTCTCCTAATTACACTGTGGTATAGAAAATAATCTAGAAAATAAAAATAATAAAAATTTAACTGTTATTATTGCTTGTCTGTTTCACATATTTCTCAAGATAGAAAATATATTTTATTTGCTGTTATTAATATTTACCATAATGAAACATTATAAAAATGTTTACAAAAACAGATTAGGGAAAGCAATTAATTCTTCTGGGAATTCTATCAATTCGTTTTAACAAACACTTCATGAATAAAAAGACCTTATATTTGTAATTGCTTTAGGAAATGATTTCATTGCAAGTAAATGGTGTAAAATTGGTCTTTCTTCCAACAAGTGAAAACTACTTTCCATTTAATAAGCAGAAAACCACATTCTGTGCATTGGCCCCAGTGGTTAATGATGTTAGAGGCCCAGTGTATCAGATTCTA